GACCTAGACTTTTCAACTCATTCTCCATTCTCGCCAGTTCCCGTTGCAGTTGCTTCACCAAAGCTTTCTCAGATACAACCAAATTGATTTGAGCATTTGTGGCCACCTCTTTAGCACAACTTGCAAAGACAAGTGTGTTTCTCGACTGTTCGAGATGACTACGAGCAGGGCTCATTGTACAGATGATAGCTGTTCTTGCATTACCCCCCAACGAGTTCTGAAGTATACGAGTTAGCTTTGAGTCTCGATACGGTATGTGTCCATTTCTCCCTTTGCTGTAGTACTTTCCAAAACAGAATACTCATATGAGAACAAGAAACTATTAAAGTTAGGTTACCAATGGTTAGTCCGTATGCAACAGAGCGGAATGTTCTGTTCTGCTGCGTACGGAGTAGCCATTTTAGGGACTTAGTTTCAGAAATGACCTTAGCTTTCGGATGACAGTTCCGAGAGTGAGTAAACTCCGATTAATGTGACAACCTTCTTTGAGTCTTGAACCAGCAGATAATGTCTGAGAAGCACGTTCACTTCCTGCTAGATCAACAAAACACACAGATGCTGCAAGAGTAGCTGAGCTCTCTGGAGAAAATTCTCGACCCGAGCCTTCAATTGTCTGCAAGAAAACAGAAAAAAGCTTTAGTTGTCACTAAGAATGTCACTAAAGAAGATGAAAATGAGTACCAGTCGAAGAATCTGATGAGATCTCGAGCTAGCCTCATTCAATGACGTCTCTCCAATCTTCCTCTGAGCTGCAAAAACCGCAGATTCAAACAGAGTATATCATTGGAAATAATTAAATCATGAAGATTGAAGAAGAACTGAGTTACTTACTTTCGCATATAGAAAGGAGTTCGTCGAGATGATTTCTGTCTGTGAGTGTCTCTTCTCTAAGTTTCTCAACCACGGTTCCTCTCTGTAGAAGCAACCGTGGTATAATATCAGTAAGTACATGTAATGATAATGGTTTAAGAAAGAAGATGAGAAGTGGTTATATATGTGACCTCTGGATCATCTAGAAGCCTAAGTGGAGTATTATTATCTTCACAAAGAAGATCCCTAACAGCTTCATTGTAAATCTCCATCGCTGAGAATTTCAGAGTGAATTCTCTTTCTTGTTTATGCTAAAGGAACACAAAGAGACTTATAAGAAAAGAGAAAGAGAGGGAGAAAAAGTGCGGTAGGTTAATATGTATGTAACCTTACCTTTTCAATGTAACCAAAGATATCGTCCATTGCAAATCCAGTGATTCCACTCATCGTGTACGTTTTCCCACTACTCGTCTGTCCATACGCGAAGATGCTCGCTGCAACACAAGATGCGTCTCCATTATGAGTCCAATGAGATATAATCTAGTATCAAAGACGGCTCATTGAGACCGCATTCACATTGTGACTAGGAATTGTAGCCTAGTGGTTTGTGCTAGTGTTCTCGATGTGTCACCTCCCGGATTCAAACCCGACATAATGCATGTTGTATCCAAAAGAATCCGTTCACATGGTATGAATTAGAGTCCACAAAGATACAACAAAATCTGATTTTTTTTTCCCATCAAGCTACATAAGTTGGATTCATAAAGGATAGATGCAAGAAACCATTTCTTACAGTTAATTCCGGAGAGGACACAGAGTGCAACCTCTTTAGCTCCATCATCATACACTTGCTTCGTGGGGCATTCGAATCCAAACACCTTGTCTGTAACA